TACAGAGGGGCACCAGCCCTTCCCTGGTGGTCAGCTCTGAGGTGGGACTGTTGACTCTGGAGAGATAGGTGGCCTCTTTGGAACATGGTTCAAAGCCATGGTAAACCAGATCAGGGCAGGGGGCCCCCAACTCTCTTCAACCAGGGTCTTTTGCAGCTCTTCCTTTGGTTCTCTCCTGGTTACTGCCTATATGTGATCTTCATGGGAGGAGCTCTGGGAAGGTGAGGATGGGACCCCATCTTGCCTGGGGCTCAGGAGGGTGTCTTGGTGCTCTGCTAGTTAGAGCAGTTCCTACAGAATTGCTGGGCTTGGCCTCTGAGAGGTCATCTTCCATCCCCAAAAAGGTGCTGACTAGCATGCCAGAAGGCCCTTTAGGGGCCTTCCCACCACCACCACAAGCAGTTGTTAGCTCATGGAAACTTCCCTGAGGAGGAGGCAGGCTTTTGACCCCCCATTTGCCACCTCAAGGCCTTCTGACAATTTTTTGCAGAGTAAACTCTAGCCCTCTGCTCGTGGGATTGTAGACAGTGGGAGGTGCATATCTGGGAAGTAGAAAGATCTCAGGAAACCACCTTTCTCCTTGGGGTGACTGTGCTGTTCACACTCTGACTCCCTGAACTATGATGCAGAAGGTCACTTGGGCCTAGGTCTCATTTCTGCAATCTGACAGCTTTTCATTTAAGTGCTATACCAAATGCCCAGTGACTACAGGTTGGATCCTAAAAACATCTGACTGTTGTCACAAAGTTAGAAACGCACCACTTACCATAAACCCAACCCTGTGCTTCCTAGATGTTCTTGTGGGCTGTGCAGCCTTTCTCCCTTAGCTCAGGAGGCAGGTGGCCTTGAGTGACAGTGCCACAGCCACAGTAACAGCATGAGCCTTGTGAACCTCAAGCCTTTTGTTCCTTGACCCATACCAGAAGAAGACCCATTCTCTTGCTCTTTGGTAATCATTTCCTTTTTATTGCTTTGATACCACCTCCATCCCATAAAATTATACTGTGAATAGGAAGATGGCAATTTTTTTTTAATTTGGTAGAGATGTTGGCAGCTACTCTATTTACAACTTCATTCCTGCCTGTCATCCAAAAGCTAGGGAGGCTGCCACAGGTAGGAGCCCCTTCCCTTCTGCACCGTGAAGTATTCCATGCATACATCTAGACTTCAAGGATAGAGTTTGTCCCAAAGGATTGTTTACCACTTAGGAGGGGAAAGAGAATATTACCACAGGGAGAGGAGGGGGTGGTTACAACAGAACACTTCAGTCAACCTTCAGTCAACCTACCCCGTCTGTGGGTATCCAAGGCTCCAATGGCATAGAAAGTGAACAATACTAGAAATAGCTGTTCTGTGCCCAGCCACTGTAGAGATGCTTGGGAACACTGGGGTTGGTCAAAACCAAGGCTCTGGTGGGCTGAGGGAAGTTCAGAGTTCAGTTTGTAGCTGGATGTGATGGTGCACGCCTTTAGTCCCAACAGAGGCAGACTGACCTCTAACTTCAAGGCCAGCTTGGTCTACAAAGTGAGTTCCAGGACAGCTAAGGTCACACAGAGAAACCCTGTCTCCAAAAGCAAAATTGTTTGAGACAGGCTCTCATGTATACCAGGTTGGCCTTCAACTCACTAAAAAGCCAAGGATGACTTTTGAGTCCCCAAGTGCTCTCATCTTCCCAAGTGCTAAGACTACAGGTGTGTGCCACCACACTTGGTTTATGTGGCCCTGGGTTCAAACACAGATCTTCGTGCATGTCTATGCAAACACTCTACCAACTGAGATATATCCCCAGCCCAGGCTGTAAGTGTTCTGAGAAGCTAAATTAGCTGCCTGCCAACTTTAGAACCCTAAAGCCCGTTTCTGACCTGTGAACCTCAGGTCTCTAATCCCTTCCAAGTTGCAACTTCCTGCTTGCTTTCTGTTCCTTTCAGCCTTGGTGATTTCCACCTGCAAGAGAAAAGCCCTTTCCTATCCCTGCTTCAAGACATTGCAGATTTTTAAGGTCTGAATATTCTCTGCCATGCAACAGTCCCTGTCACTCTGCAGTAAACCTTTTCTATAGCGTCTCCTCTAGGTTCAGTTAATTTGCTTATTTGACAAAGCCAGTGTGAGACTTTTATTCTTAAAATTGGAGGCACATTCTAAAGCTAGTCATTTTGTCAAATGCATGTAGTGACAGCCCCCAAAGGACTCCACACACAAGCCAGGGAACACGAACTGGAAAGGTACCCCTTCTCTAGGGACACCAACTAGAGGCTCTGTAGACTCCAAGCCCAATACCCCAAAGTAATGCTCCAGTGTCCTCGTGTGTGACTGTGTGTGTATGCCTGTGTCTGGGATCCAGGGCAAATGTGAATTTTCTTTTTATTTGGGAGATTGTTCACAGGAAATAGTCCTCTCCTCTCTTGTCCTTCTATTGATTGTTTACAATATTTGTACATCTATGCAAAATACTTGAATGGGCCATGGTGCCTTGTTTTGTTATTTTGTTTTTGTTTTTTTTTCTCCTTGTTTGTATTTAATTAAAACAAATTGTCATTAGAAAATGCTCCATGTTTGGACAGTTCTTTTGTGTATGTGTGTGTGCTGTTTCAGTATTCCACTGCTTGGACCACTTCAGACATATGACGTGTACTCTTCAGAAAGAAGTCCCTTAGAAACCATCAGTCTTCCCATGAGGCAATGACCTGAGCAATAGTGAAGCCCCAAGTTTCCCCATGACCAGGAGAGAGGGTTGCTTGCTGTTCCTGTGCAGAAGATGGTCTGGTTTCATTACATCTTGGGTCACCAAAGGCTTTAACAATCTTGAGATTCTAGTACATTCTTCTACACTATTGCCTTTACAAGGCAGCTGAGACGCTCTCTTGCCATCTCTCCTTACTAGGGGGAGTGTTTGAATGAAGCAGGGAGACTTAGTGAGGGTCTCTTGGGCTGCATGGGTAGGCTCAGGAGGGCCAGGTTGTGTTCACTTCAGATTCCCAGGGCTTATGTGAAAACAGCACACACTGCTGGTGCCTCCCACCATCATACAGGAGGAAGGAATACTCACTGAGGGATGAGCCCATGCAAAATACTTTGTACTATTTTCCTTCATGTGGGTTACTGTGGTGGTCTGAATGAAAATGGCCCCCATAGACTCAGGGACTGGCATTATTGGAGGTGTGGCCTTAATGGAGTAGGTATGGCCTTCTTGGAGGAAGTGTGTCACTGGGGGCAGACTTTGAGGTTTCAGGCACAGTGGCTCACTCTCTCTTCCTGCTGCCTATGGGTCCAGATTTATAGCTCTTGGCTCCATCTCCAGCACCATGTCTACCTGTAAGCCACCATGCTTCCCACCCTGACTGGACTGAGCCTCTGAACTATAAGCCAGCCCAATGAAATGGTTTCCTTATAAAAGTTGCCATGATCATGGTATTTCATCACAGCAATAGAAACTATTAGCTAAGGTGTGGTCATCAAAAGCATCCATTCCAACAGCAATCCTTCCCTACTAGAGTGAAGGCAGACATATGAAAGACATGGGAGGGCTTTGTTTGGTATTTCAGAGATCAGGGACTGTCCTCTCAGCATACTAGAGGTACCTAGTGGTGTGAATTTGTTCCTTGTTCAAGGGAGATCAAGACATTCATCAAGTAAACACACTCTGAAGTCTTTATTCTTGACCCCAGAGCCCAGGCTCTCAGAACCCTCAGCTTACTGCCATACCCAAGATCCAATGTGTTGCATTGATTTCAGTTACAGTCAGAAATCCACATTCATTAAAGTCCTGGGGATTGGACATGGAAGGTCCAGGGGCTCAGAGTGTTGATCTGCCCTAAGAGCTTGCCCAAGGCTAGAAAGGGTTTGATGTGGGTGGGTTGCACTTAGAGGATCAGATGTGAACACAGCAAATAGGCAGGGAGATGGACAGGACTCTACCTGCACTGCAGATCACTTTCCCACAGACTGGCTCCTAATTTCACTCTCTTGTGGTTCTTCCTTTCTCAGCTGGAAGAAGCTGGGAAGAAAAGGATCTCAATTCTCTCTTTAGCTGCTGTTGCATGCATGCCTCTGGCCAAATGTGAGGTCATCAAAGATGGCCCCCAGAGCAAGTGGTGGAGGAGGAGTCTATGCTGCTTCCAGTGTTCCTCATACTCTCCTCCGCCTCCTCAAGTCATATTATGGTCAACTTCTTGGTGCAATTGAAATCACATTCTGCTAAATTCCAGAATGACAGCACAATTCTGTTCTCTTCCCCGAGAAGGCTAGGGGTTTGGCCATCAGAGCTGGGCTAGGAGGCATCCCCTGCTGTTGTTGAATTCTAAGGTTATAGTGTGCATGTGTCAATGACTGATGCCTTGGGATGGACAGGGTGGTGGTGCTGCTTGGGGCCTGGACAGCAAGATATGACCTCCAGGATGGAGTGCTTGGAGAATGGACTAGTTGAGACTTCCCTGAGACATCAGGTGGCTTTCACAGTAAGAAGTTCAGCTGGGGTCTTGCTTCTATCTCCAGGAAACACCAGGCTACCTGGAACCTAATGTGCACCTTGGGATGGTGAGGAGTCCAGATTGCTCTGCAATCCTCCACAACCTCCATTTTTGGGCTGAGGGCTGAGAAGTCCAGCTTGACAGGCCAATTGGTGTGAAGGATTTCCTGACGATGAATATCTGAGGGCAGTTCTTGAACTGGGCTACATTCAGCAGGTCAAATTCTGTCTTCTCCCCCAACAACACAGAGTTGGTGCTGAGGGAAGCAGAAGGAAGAGGCTCTGGGGACTTGCTGGCTCCAATAGAAACTAGTGGAGTTAGTCACCAAGGCTGTATCTCTAGGAAGTCCTGCCACCTACCTTACTGGGTAGGGATTTTTTTTTCTTCTTCTAGGAACAGCAGTGAGGTATAAATGAATATCTCAAAAAAAAGATAGCCCTTGGCAACAGATGTGCTGAAAGTAACCTGGTAGTTTTGAACTTGAGAGGTCAGGCTGGACATTGGGCACCTCCTCTTACTCATTTATTGCAGGCTTTAAGAATCGATCATAAATACTTTGGGCTTCTGTTGTGGTGATGGTGTGCTGGCAAGTTCTATGTTGTCCACAAGGACATTCTTATCTTCTAGTTTAATGACGGTGGGCTCTGGGGCAGGAGCTGGAGTTGTGTTTTTGTGAGTGTGTGGCAAGCTGATTTGGTTGATGTCCAAATCTTTGAAAGCATGAAGCATGAAAACACCCAAGATGATAGTGACAAAGCCAGACAGGGTGCCCATAATGTCCACAGCAGACATGGTATACCACTCCTTGAAGAGGACAATGGAGGAGACCACTACCACCGTGGTAAAGAAAACATAGTAGATGGGGAAGACCAGGGAGGTGTTAAAAATATCCAGTGCCCTGTTGAGGAAGTTGACCTGAATGATGATGGAAAGTCCCAGGATGAGAGACAGGATGTAGGGCAGGGGGTGGCGAACAACTGGTAAGCCCTGGAAGAAGTTCCTGATGGTGACACCCAGACCCTTGACGGCAGTCACGGAGAAGGATCCAATCACAGAGCAGATGATGATGTAAATGAGAATATTCCTTTGCCCATAACGCGGAGCAACAATGAAGATGAGGATGAGGCAGGATACCACCAGAAGGACCGCAAATACAACGAACCCTTCAGGGAGGAGGGACATAAATCATTCAGTGAAGGACACAGATAGTATCTAGGACCCCAGACTTACCCTCTCACATGTGGGTTCTAGTCTCAGCTTCAGACTTTTTAATAACTCATGCAAGTTATTAAACTCTAAGACCCTAGTTTATTCACTTGTAAAAAAAAAGGATCAAAAGTGGGATTTTTTCCTTGTAGAGCTGTTTAATGAAATAATGCATATTCTTACATAAAATGTTTTTTTTATAATAACAATGTGTGCATTTAGAGAAATGCTCCACACACAATGAACAATAAATCATCTATGTTTACATTGATCCAGGAAGCCTGGCTAAAGGGTACTGCCCAACTTCCTTCCTGTTGTTCACCTTTTCCTCAAGGGGGCAGCACAGAGATGGACAGAGCCCAATCTATACACAATTCATGCCGTAGTGTTTTCTGCTAGCCCAGTGCTTGAAGCCCACCTACCTGTGTCTTTCATCTTAGAAGCCATCTCCACAACAGTAGTGACCTTCTCCTCCTTGGGGGCATGTATGACCATCACTGTGCTGCCAGCCACACAGATGATACAGCCCAGCTTCCCCAGAAGATTCAGGCTCTCTCCCAGGCAATAGGAGGAGAAGATGGCGCTATACAGGGACATGGGAGAAAGGGATTGAGTGGAGGTGCCTATTCCAGCCCCCACTAAAGACACATGGGGGCTGAGTAAACACTTATGGGGAACAACAGTCCAAAACTCACCCCTCTCTGTAGAAGCCTTCCTAGATTTCTTTCATCCAACCCCAAACTTTCAGAAGTAGAAATGATTTCTGGGGGTAGGGGGGTTGGAATGTGTGCTGGGGAAGCAGAAATACATGTGGATCTCTTTTATTTTTGAAATGGAAACCATCTACAAACCAAACAGTTGCATCCCGGTTGGTTTATCGTTAACTTGACAAAATATAGAGTCATCTGTGAAAGTGATCTCAGCTGAGCAAATGCCTCCATCAGGTTGGTCTGTTGACAAGCCTGTGGGACATTTTCTTGACTGATGATGGATGTGAGTGAGCATAGACCACTGTGGGTGGTACCATTCTTGGACAGGTCATCCTGGGGTGTATAAGAAAGCAAACTGAGCAAGCCAGGAGGAGCAAGCTCCAATGTGGCTTCTGCTTCAGTTTCTGCCTCTAACTTCCTGGCTTGAGTTCCTGTCTTGGCTTTCCCCTATGATGGACTGCAATTTGTAAGCCAAATAAATTATTTCCTCCCCAAGTTGCTTTTGGTCATGGTGTCTCATCACAGCAATTGAAAGCAAACTAAGATAGATTAAAAAGAGCTTTTCAAACTACTCTTGTCTGACTCCCTACCATTTTAATGTCCTGTAGTATTGCTAGGAGATATTTTTCAACTATGGGTTGTGTGCATCTGGCATCAGGGAACAAGCCAAATGAGTGCATTGCAGGGTCACACTTATTCACCCCAAATGCATTTTCTGGTACTTTCTAGTCCTTGCCTCATTTCTGTTCCTTGGGTCATAGAGAATGAATCTATTCCTCTTTTAGTCGCATTTGCCAATATAAACCACCACAATGATAATTACGGATACTATGTCTTGGGGCATGTATTTGCTAATAGGTACTGCATCAGAGTTAATTCTGAATTAACTTATACTGCTCTCAGTTTACAAATGAGAAAACTGAGTTCGTAGAAGTTAAAATGATTCAGCAAATCCTTTAACTGGTAAGTGACAAAAGCAGGTTTTGAAAGGGACTTTGATCTTATTACAAAGCTGATGGGTATTACTCTATGCTAAAGAGAGCCTTTATGCTTCTCAGAGTCTTTACTGAACAAGATCCTTCTCGCTCTTAGGTGATATGATTTCTGTTCCCTTATGTTGAGGGAAGAAAAAGGGGGACTGGACAGGCTAGGAATGAACCATGAGCTCACTTGCTTTATGAAGGTGGCATTTGTTCACAAATGTATTGGCTGCCCTGGGACCTAGGTAGCATCCAAAAGTCTTGGCCTGTAGGCAAGCTACTGGGCCATTTTCTTGACTGATGATAGATGAGGAACAGCTCGGGTCACAGTGAGCAGGGCCATACCTGGACGGGTAGTCCTGGGGCACATGAGAAAGCAAATTGAGCAAGCCATGGGATGCAAGCCCCATATTATTTTACCTACAGTGGTCTCTTTGAGAGATTACGATGGCATTTATACAGGCAGGGCCAAACAGTGGAGAATGCCTTCTCAGAACATCTCGGGAGTGGGAATTTGTAAATACATAAGATTTGGGAAGCACGTCTACTCAGCAGTAACAGCAGCAAGGCCAGTTGTGCACTGAGTCTGAGGAGTCTACTTGTCTCACAACTGTAAACATTGCAAAACTGTCATCAAGTGGAAAAACAACACAGAAGAGATTATAGGTGCTGGCTGTGGTTGACCAGGATTTATCAGAGCCCCTAATGAGTGCATCCCTCCAATGGGTTAAAGGACCCACACAGAAGTACCTATGTTCATAGCTTGGGAGGAATGGGGGTGATAAGAGGTGCAAATGCTTAGTATCAGTTATACTGTATTGTTGCTTCTGGTTGTTCCAGGATGTTAGGAGTCAAACCCAGGCACACCGGGTGAGTGCTCTGCTCCCAACTACATCACCATCTCTAAGACACCTAATTTTTTTAAGATTTTATTTATTTATTATTTATACAGTCTTCTGCCTGCATGCAGATCTCATTCAAGGTGGTTGTGAGCCACCATGTGGGGGCTGGTAATTGCTTTCAGAACATCTGAAAGAACAGTCAGTGCTCTTAACCACTGAGCCATCTCTCCAGCCCCCAAGACACCTAATTTTTAAAACCAGTGTTTGCAGAGTCTTTACTGACAGGCATGGCTGTTAATTCCTGGGTCCTGGGATTATACTGCATAGGGTGGATCCTGGTTTGACAACAGGGTCTTCATGCTGACAAATACAAGTAGAAGGAGGGGGTTTGTCTACCACCTAAGGGACAGAAATAGGTCATGAAGTAGAATTGTTGGAAAGTTACCTTGGCCATAGTGCTTAACCTCTCTGGATCTTGGAAACAAATTTAAGAATGAAGTGAGTTAGTACACAGATTACATTCAGATGGCTTCATGCATAGTTTTCCTCTGTCTATTATAGCCATGGTTACTTGGAGCTAGTCTGTTCTACATCCATTCTTTCTGTTATCTCATTTAGTTCTCTGGGTGTGTATCATTAGTATTCTGTTTTGCATATGGATGAATTGCACCTTGGCTAAAAGACTTGCCTCTCACTCCATCACTACTAAGGTTTGAGTATGGATTAGTACTTGGGTCATGTTGTGGCTCAGTTGGTAATGTGCCTGTCCTGCAAGCATGAGGGGCTAAGTTCAAATCCTCTGCACCCACCTAAAAGCCAGGTGTGGTGATGTGTGCCTATAATCCTAGTCCTGGAGAGTCCGGAGATTGGAGGATTCCTGAGCTTATTGGGCAGCCAGCCTAACCAATTGGTGAACTCCAAGCAGTGAGAGGTTTTGTCTAAATAATAATAATAATAATAATAATAATAATAATAATAATAATAATTTAGAGACTAATTGAGAAAGACAATGAACTCTAATCTCTGTCTTCCATAAACAGCTCACACATAGGTGTATACACATGTACATGCGTCTGTACACTTCTGTACACACTCATATGTACGTACATGACATGCACACTATAGACAAAAGAACACTAAGGCTCATGTTCTTAATTCATTGAGGTGAACTGAGGCCATGGCAGCCATCAGTCCAAGGGCCTAACACTCTTAATAGCATGTTCCCTTTTTCCAGAGCTTGGAACTAGTTGGGGGTTCTAGGTAGCTGCTCCCCCTTTGGTAAATCCAGGTCTCAACAAAACAAAAACAGGAAAGAACCAGAGGTAACAAAAGAGGGGACAATGACCTTATGAGGACGCTCAGTGCTCCCAGCGGTGTGACAACTGTAGCAGGTGCAAATGCATAGGCCCCAAAGTTGGCAACTTCTCCAGCAGACACTAGGAAATTAGAGGAGAAAAGAGGCCAGTGTGATTCCAAGGCACCACGTCCATTCCAGATGAGTCTGGGCAGAGATGGTTTCTGTCAGTGTTCAACTGTACCTAAAACCCAAGACCAGCACTCCTTAAGATCCATCCACATGCTTTCTCCCTGGAGATAAGGTCAGACCCAGACTCTAGAGTTCTCCCACTGTAAAGGTGGTAAGGCCAAAATCCTGAGCTCACAGTGACCTTCGAAGCTGCCATGTTTTTGTGTGTCCTTTCACTTTTAGTCCACACTCAGTTAAGTATGTCTCACAGGCTTTCATGTTTTCATTTCTATTTTTAAGGTAAGTTCTAGAAACTCAATTATCAAATGAAACAATTACAGTTATGGATTCTTTGGGTACACTTGTTCCAAGGACTACTCTTTCATAAGGGAACTGTGGACAGTTGTGTGGGCTAGTTTTTTTGTTTGCTTGTTTTTTGTCAACTTGACACAAGCTAGAGTCATGTGAGCAGAGGAACCTCAGTTGAAAAAATGTCTCCTGTCAGACTGGCCTGAAAGCAAGCAGGGACATGTTCCTGTTTGATGATTGATGTGCAAGAGCCCATGCTACTGTGGGCAGTGCCACCCCTGGACAAGTGGTCCTGGGTTTTATAAGAAAGCAAATTGAGCAAACTAGGAGATATGTGGATCCTGCAAGCTTACTGGCCAACCAGCCTAGCAGAAATGGTGAACTGAACTTGAGAGGTTCATTAAGAGAACTGATTCAAAACTAAAGAGGAAAGAATTAGAGAAAGATGCCTAATGTCCTACACACACACACACACACACACACACACAAACACACACACACACACACAGTGATGATGACGATGATGATAGCAATAATAATAATATTTTTAAAAGTTAAGCTTTGATAGCCAGAAAGGGTAGGTGCACAGCGGGAGCAATATATAAGCGTACAAATCTAGACAAAGCTTCAGAAAAGCCATGTTCTAAGTGGGTCAAGCTCTTAATTGTCATGATGTAGTGAAGTTGCCTAAGGTTCCCAAAGCCTACCAGACACAGGCCAAGACTGTGGCCAAGAGGCAGTGCTACCAGGGCTCTGTATTTCAGTGGCAGCTGAAAGAACACACTTGTATCCATAAAAAAAAAAGAAAGAAAGAAAGAAAGAAAGAAAGAAAGAAAGAAAGAAAGAAAGAAAGAAAGAAAGAAAGAAAGAAAGAAAGAAAGAAAGAAAGAGAACAGGATTTTCTATATCTCAGTCTGGCCTTGAACTTATTGTGTAACTGAGGGTGGCCTTGAACTTCTGCTTCTGCCTCCACCTCTGAGTGCTGTGATTATAGGCATGTTCTACCACCCCCGTTTTATGTGGTACTTGGGATTGAACCCAGGGTTTTGTGCATGCTAGGCAAGTGCTCTCCCAACTGAGCTACATCACAAGCTGTGCCCCTGCATCATTATGTTCATAGAAGAGGCCTTCCTTTGGGCTGAGACAGT